CAATGTGTCCATGGCGCTCACAATGTGTCCATGGCGCTCACAATGTGTCCATGGCGCTCACAATGTGTCCATGGCGCTCACAATGTGTCCATGGCGCTCACAATGTGTCCATGGCGCTCACAACGAGACCATGGCGCTCACAACGAGACCGTGACGCTCACAACGAGACCGTGGCGCTCACAACGAGACCGTGGCGCTCACAACGAGACCGTGGCGCTCACAACGAGACCGTGGCGCTCACAACGAGACCATGGCGCTCACAACGAGACCATGGCGCTCACAGTGAGTCCACGGCGCTCACAATGAAACCACGGCGCTCACAATGAGACCACGGCGCTCACAATGCGTCCACGGCGCTCACAATGAGTCCATGGCGCTCACAATGAGTCCATGGCGCTCATTATGAGTCCATGGCGCTCATTATGAGTCCATGGTGCTCATTATGAGTCCATGGCGCTCACAATGAGTCCATTGCACTCACAATGAGTCCATTGCGCTCACAATGAGTCCATGGCGCTCACAATGAGTCCATGGCGCTCACAATGAGTCCATGGCGCTCACAATGAGTCCATGGCGCTCACAATGAGTCCATGGCGCTCATAATGAGTCCATGGCGCTCATAATGAGTCCATGGCGCTCATAATGAGTCCATGGCGCTCACAATGAGTCCATGGCGCTCACAATGAGTCCATAGCGCTTATAATGAGTCCATAGCGCTCACAATGAGTCCATGGCGCTCATAATGAGTCCATGGCGCTCACAATGAGTCCATGGCGCTCATAATGAGTCCATGGCGCTCACAATGAGTCCATGGCGCTCACAATGAGTCCATGGTGCTCACAATGAGTCCATGGTGCTCACAATGAGTCCATGGCGCTCATTATGAGTCCATGGCGCTCATTATGAGTCCATGGCGCTCATTATGAGTCCATGGCGCTCATTATGAGTCCATGGTGCTCATTATGAGTCCATGGCGCTCACAATGAGTCCATTGCACTCACAATGAGTCCATTGCGCTCACAATGAGTCCATTGCGCTCACAAGGAGTCCATTGCGCTCACAATGAGTCCATGGCGCTCACAATGAGTCCATGGCGCTCACAATGAGTCCATGGCGCTCACAATGAGTCCATGGCGCTCACAATGAGTCCATGGCGCTCACAATGAGTCCATGGCGCTCACAATGTGTCCATGGCGCTCACAATGTGTCCATGGCGCTCACAATGTGTCCATGGCGCTCACAATGAGTCCATGGCGCTCACAATGTGTCCATGGCGCTCACAATGTGTCCATGGCGCTCACAATGTGTCCATGGCGCTCACAATGTGTCCATGGCGCTCACAACGAGTCCATGGCGCTCACAACGAGACCATGGCGCTCACAACGAGACCGTGACGCTCACAACGAGACCGTGGCGCTCACAACGAGACCGTGGCGCTCACAACGAGACCGTGGCGCTCACAACGAGACCGTGGCGCTCACAACGAGACCATGGCGCTCACAGTGAGTCCACGGCGCTCACAATGAAACCACGGCGCTCACAATGAGACCACGGCGCTCACAATGCGTCCACGGCGCTCACAATGCGTCCACGGCGCTCACAATGAGTCCATGGCGCTCACAATGAGTCCATGGCGCTCACAATGAGTCCATGGCACTCACAATGAGTCCATGGCGCTCACAATGAGTCCATGGCGCTCACAATGAGTCCATGGCGCTCACAATGAGTCCATGGCGCTCACAATGAGATCATGGCGCTCACAATGCGTCCATGGCGCTCACAATGAGACCATGGCGCTCACAATGAGATCATGGCGCTCACAATGAGACCATGGCACTCACAATGAGACCATGGCACTCACAATGAGACCATGGCGCTCACAATGAGACCATGGCGCTCACAATGAGACCATGGCGCTCACAATGAGACCATGGCGCTCACAATGAGACCATGGCGCTCACAATGAGACCATGGCGCTCACAATGAGACCATGGCGCTCACAATGAGACCATGGCACTCACAATGAGACCATGGCACTCACAATGAGATCATGGCGCTCAAAATGAGACCATGGCGCTCACAATGAGACCATGGCGCTCACAATGAGACCATGGCGCTCACAATGAGTCTATGGCACTCACAATGAGACCATGGCACTCACAATGAGACCATGGTGCCCACAATGAGACCATGGCACTCACAATGAGAAAATGAGTCTCATGGGACCATGAGTCCCCCCAGCACTCACAACAAGTGGTAGAGTAACACAAGACGGACAGGGCCGGTAGTAGGGTAAATGACGCCATAAACCGTGCGCACCCTCCTGGCTTGCACTGTTGCAAGATTGTTACATACAATGTTGCAAAGTTGCAAAGCATAGAAAACTAGAATTTGCACCATGTTACATCATGATTTAATAGGGTAAAAAGGGCATATGGTGTGAACGAAGTTAAAATGGAAAGGCCAAACTGGGATTCCAAAATTCTTCATACACATTTCAAATTGATTCGAAGAGTAGAACATTATGTACTTTGTAAGTGTGGTTTTTAAACCACAATTACAGCTTGACTTGAGTTTTCAGTCGCATATAGTCCTGGGGACCATTCAGGCTTGTTCGCATATATGTCGTACCTAGTAGCCAGAACGCACTTCTTAGCCTACTATGCAAGGCCCAATTTGCCTAATAAGCCAAGTTTTCCTGAATTAATATATTTTCTCCAATTTTTTCTTATGAAATGATAAAGCTACCCATTTCATTATGTATGAGGTCATTTTTTTTTTATTGGAGTTAAAATTAACGTAGATATATGACCGAACCTAACCAACCCTACCTAACCTAACCTAACCTATCTTTATAGGTTAGGTTAGGTAGCCGAAAAAGTTAGGTTAGGTTAGGTTTGGTAGGTTAGGTAGTCGAAAAACAATTAATTCATGAAAACTTGGCTTATTAGGCAAATCGGGCCTTGCATAGTAGGCTGAGAAGTGCGTTCTGGCTACTAGGTACGACATATATATATATATATATATATATATATATATATATATGTCGTACCTAATAGCCAGAACGCACTTCTTAGCCTACTATGCAAGGCCCGATTTGCCTATTAAGCCAAGTTTTCATGAATAATTGGTTTTCCGACTACCTTACCTACCTAACCTAACCTAACTTTTTCGGTTGCCTAACCGAACCTAACCTATGAAGATAGGTTAGGTTAGGTTAGGTAGGGTTGGTTAGGTTCGGTCATATATCTACGTTAATTTTAATTCCAATAAAAAAAAATTTATCTCATTCATAATGAAATGGGTAGCTTTATCATTTTATAAGAAAAAAATTAGAGAAAATATATTAATTCAGGAAAACTTGGCTTATTAGGCAAATCGGGCCTTGCATAGTAGGCCCAGAAGTGCGTTCTGGCTACTAGGTACGACATATATATATATATATATATATATATATATATATATATATATATATATATATATATATATATATATATATATATATATATATATATATACACACACACACATATACTCTACATGACTCACTCTGGATAAGTAGCCCCGGAATAAAACTTGCAAAAGAATCGAAGATTTGCAACAGGATTTTTGAGGTGACTGAACTACGAGGAGAGGGTGAGAGAACTCGACCTCTCCGCACTGGAGGAGAAACCCAAGAGGGACATGATACCGATATACAGGATTCTAATGACATCTAAAACAAAGTAGAAACGTTTAAAGTGAAGAATTAAAGAAGTACGATACATAGATGAAAAGTAGACACAAATGTCAGAGCTAACAAAAACTTAATTGGATATACATAGTGGAATCAAGTTCAGTACAGTTTTAAATGTAAATATAGATATTTATTTATTTATTATAAATTTATTTACCTATATTTACCACCTTATTTACCTATAACTACCTTTAAATGCAAATAGATATATATCAGAGGGTCCCGGTAATACAGTCAGGTTGTCACAGCTCGTATAAGACTTAGCTACAAGTATCTCTGGCAGTTCGGCTTGTATAGGGATCTAGATGAAGTAAAGTGTAAAGTTTGTGGACAAAGGCAGGGTCACACACTCGAACACTATATCTTGGATTGTAGTAAAATTGAGCCATTTAGAGATAAATCTAAGCTCACTCTGTATGATATGGCAACCTATCTTATTACCATGGATAAATTACCTGAAATCCTTGCACTGTATCTATATTTAGCTTCCAGTAGATAAACGACTTATGAGATTAAGAAACAAGTAGTGTATTGTGAAGACTAATAATAAACAACAGCTCCTATATGACTGTTATATCTTCACTGCTTAAACAATTGTGTATTAGCGATCAGACCTACCATGTATGTATAATGACTTACTGTTAATATATAGCTCTTGAAATAGAACATTCTCTGTAACTAGTTGATATTGTGGTTATAAGGTGTGAAGGATAGATGAAATTGTTTATCAGACCTCACTTAGATTATTACATAAAGACATTTTGTGCCCTCTGTAATGCTTTTTGCGCTACCGCTCACAGGATTGGTATTTGGTGCACAATATACTAGCCGCCTCCGGCGGCAACAATCAAATCAATCGTTCTCGACTCACAATCGAGAACTCCGAATTCGATTCCCAGGCGGTAAAGAAATGGTAGGGGACATTTCTTATTATCTAAAGCGCCTGTTCACCTAGGAGCATTCAACTAGGTACTCAGGAGTTAGTCAGCTTGTTGATTGATTGTTGCCGCCGGAGGGGGCTTGTTTATTGTGCACCCCATACTCATCCTGTGAGCGGTAGCGCAAAAGGATAGCGTAATTGTACATTGGGGGGGACCTCCATATAAGCCTAACGTGTATGAATTCACCCTGGCAGCCTGTCCCACGACACAATGAATTAGTATTAGTATTATTATATTTACTAAACTGGACTCTTAGGAGCTGAAGCTTAGCCCTTTAAGCACATCTAGGCGAGTACTATAAAAAACACAATAGTCACTCTTACTTTCCGCCCGACAGGTCCGGTGAACCGGCCCGCGATCCTCCCTCCGGCGGCGCCAACTTGGACCCCTTTGACTGGGAGTCCCGCCGCATCTCGCCCTTCCTGTTGAGGCTGTGCCCGAGGGACACCTCGACTCTCGCACCGTTGGGGCGTCTGCTTAAGCTGCTGGCGGGGCGTCTCGCGTCGTTGGGATAACCTTTGACGTCTCCACGGTGCTGTTTCCGCTCGATGGACAACTGTTTGTCGTCGCCGCCACTGTTTGTTCTGTGTCTCTTGTAGCCAGGGACGTCGACGGGGGAGGCTCTCCTTCCCTGATCTGCAAAGACACAAGAGGATGACTGTATAGAAGGACCAGGGAGGCACTTCTTTGCTGGGAGAATGGAGAAATATATTACACAAAGCAGAGAGATACATGGGAGACAGAGAGATACATGGGAGACAGAGAGATACATGCAAGACAGAGAGATACATGCGAGACAGAGAGATATAGAGAACAAGTAAGAGATGAATAGGTTTAATCTAATACATGAAACATTTATTTATTTATTTATATACAAGAGGGTAAATTAGGGATTAACAGAGAACATAGAAATTAAGTTGAATTTACATTCTTGTAAAGCCACTAGCACGCATAGCGTTTCGGGCAAGTCCTTAAACCAACAGATAAGTTTTAGATCATTTAACAGTAAAATTGAAAAAAAAATGTTTACAGGTACTTTACAGCTTTACTTTACAGATACCGATAATTTTAAGTAGAATAATTACAGTAAAATTGACAAAAATTTATTACCGGTACATTGAAGAAATTTTGACTCAAAAGCAGATTAGAATAATACACAATAATAAGCATTAGTTCAACACCAGTTCACCAGTGTCAGCCCCACGCCACAATAGTCTCCAGTTCACCAGTGTCAGCCCCACACCACAACAGTCTCCAGTTCACCAGTGTCAGCCCCACACCACAATAGTCTCCAGTTCACTAGTGTCAGCCCCACACCACAACAGTCTCCAGTTCACTAGTGTCAGCCCCACACCACAACAGTCTCCAGTTCACCAGTGTCAGCCCCACACCACAACAGTCTCCAGTTCACTAGTGTCAGCCCCACGCCACAATAGTCTCCAGTTCACCAGTGTCAGTCCCACACCACAACAGTCTCCAGTTCACCAGTGTCAGCCCCACACCACAATAGTCTCCAGTTCACTAGTGTCAGCCCCACACCACAACAGTCTCCAGTTCACTAGTGTCAGCCCCACACCACAACAGTCTCCAGTTCACTAGTGTCAGCCCCACACCACAACAGTCTCCAGTTCACCAGTGTCAGCTCCACACCACAACAGTCTCCAGTTCACTAGTGTCAGCCCCACACCACAACAGTCTCCAGTTCACCAGTGTCAGCCCCACACCACAACAGTCTCCAGTTCACTAGTGTCAGCCCCACGCCACAATAGTCTCCAGTTCACCAGTGTCAGCCCCACACCACAACAATCTCCATTTCACCAGTGTCAGCCCCACACCACAACAGTCTCCAGTTCACTAGTGTCAGCCCCACACCACAACAGTCTCCAGTTCACTAGTGTCAGCCCCACACCACAACAGTCTCCAGTTCACTAGTGTCAGCCCCACACCACAACAGTCTCCAGTTCACTAGTGTCAGCCCCACACCACAACAGTCTCCAGTTCACTAGTGTCAGCCCCACACCACAACAGTCTCCAGTTCACTAGTGTCAGCCCCACACCACAACAGTCTCCAGTTCACTAGTGTCAGCCCCACACCACAACAGTCTCCAGTTCACTAGTGTCAGCCCCACACCACAACAGTCTCCAGTTCACTAGTGTCAGCCCCACACCACAACAGTCTCCAGTTCACTAGTGTCAGCCCCACACCACAACAGTCTCCAGTTCACTAGTGTCAGCCCCACACCACAACAGTCGCCAGTTCACTAGTGTCAGCCCCACACCACAACAGTCTCCAGTTCACTAGTGTCAGCCCCACACCACAACAGTCTCCAGTTCACTAGTGTCAGCCCCACACCACAACAGTCTCCAGTTCACCAGTGTCAGCCCCACACCACAACAGTCTCCAGTTCACCAGTGTCAGCCCCACACCACAACAGTCTCCAGTTCACCAGTGTCAGCTCCACACCACAACAGTCTCCAGTTCACCAGTGTCAGCCCCACACCACAACAGTCTCCAGTTCACTAGTGTCAGCTCCACACCACAACAGTCTCCAGTTCACCAGTGTCAGCTCCACACCACAACAGTCTCCAGTTCACCAGTGTCAGCCCCACACCACAACAGTCTCCAGTTCACTAGTGTCAGCCCCACACCACAACAGTCTCCAGTTCACCAGTGTCAGCCCCACACCACAACAGTCTCCAGTTCACTAGTGTCAGCCCCACACCACAACAGTCTCCAGTGTCAGCCCCACACCACAACAGTCTCCAGTTCACCAGTGTCAGCTCCACACCACAACAGTCTCCAGTTCACCAGTGTCAGCCCCACACCACAACAGTCTCCAGTTCACTAGTGTCAGCCCCACACCACAACAGTCTCCAGTTCACTAGTGTCAGCCCCACACCACAACAGTCTCCAGTTCACTAGTGTCAGCCCCACACCACAACAGTCTCCAGTTCACTAGTGTCAGCCCCACACCACAACAGTCTCCAGTTCACCAGTGTCAGCCCCACACCACAACAGTCTCCAGTTCACTAGTGTCAGCCCCACACCACAACAGTCTCCAGTTCACTAGTGTCAGCCCCACGCCACAATAGTCTCCAGTTCACCAGTGTCAGCCCCACACCACAACAGTCTCCAGTTCACCAGTGTCAGCCCCACACCACAACAGTCTCCAGTTCACCAGTGTCAGCCCCACACCACAACAGTCTCCAGTTCACCAGTGTCAGCCCCACACCACAACAGTCTCCAGTTCACTAGTGTCAGCCCCACGCCACAACAGTCTCCAGTTCACCAGTGTCAGCCCCACACCACAACAGTCTCCAGTTCACTAGTGTCAGCCCCACACCACAACAGTCTCCAGTTCACTAGTGTCAGCCCCACACCACAACAGTCTCCAGTTCACTAGTGTCAGCCCCACACCACAACAGTCTTTAGTTCACTAGTGTCAGCCCCACACCACAACAGTCTCCAGTTCATTAGTGTCAGCCCCACACCACAACAGTCTCCAGTTCACTAGTGTCAGCCCCCACACCACAACAGTCTCCAGTTCACTAGTGTCAGCCCCACACCACAACAGTCTCCAGTTCACTAGTGTCAGCCCCACACCACAACAGTCTCCAGTTCACTAGTGTCAGCCCCACACCACAACAGTCTCCAGTTCACTAGTGTCAGCCCCACACCACAACAGTCTCCAGTTCACTAGTGTCAGCCCCACACCACAACAGTCTCCAGTTCACTAGTGTCAGCCCCACACCACAACAGTCTCCAGTTCACTAGTGTCAGCCCCACACCACAACAGTCTCCAGTTCACTAGTGTCAGCCGCACACCACAACAGTCTCCAGTTCACTAGTGTCAGCCCCACACCACAACAGTCTCCAGTTCACTAGTGTCAGCCCCACACCACAACAGTCTCCAGTTCACTAGTGTCAGCCCCACACCACAACAGTCTCCAGTTCACTAGTGTCAGCCCCACACCACAACAGTCTCCAGTTCATTAGTGTCAGCCCCACACCACAACAGTCTCCAGTTCACTAGTGTCAGCCCCACACCACAACAGTCTCCAGTTCACTAGTGTCAGCCCCACACCACAATAGTCTCCAGTTCACTAGTGTCAGCTCCACACCACAACAGTCTCCAGTTCACCAGTGTCAGCTCCACACCACAACAGTCTCCAGTTCACCAGTGTCAGCCCCACACCACAACAGTCTCCAGTTCACTAGTGTCAGCCCCACACCACAACAGTCTCCAGTTCACTAGTGTCAGCCCCACATCACAACAGTCTCCAGTTCACTAGTGTCAGCCCCACACCACAACAGTCTCCAGTTCACCAGTGTCAGCCCCACACCACAACAGTCTCCAGTTCACTAGTGTCAGCCCCACACCACAACAGTCTCCAGTTCACTAGTGTCAGCCCCACACCACAACAGTCTCCAGTGTCAGCCCCACACCACAACAGTCTCCAGTTCACCAGTGTCAGCTCCACACCACAACAGTCTCCAGTTCACTAGTGTCAGCCCCACACCACAACAGTCTCCAGTTCACTAGTGTCAACCCCACACCACAACAGTCTCCAGTTCACTAGTGTCAGCCCCACACCACAACAGTCTCCAGTTCACTAGTGTCAGCCCCACACCACAACAGTCTCCAGTTCACTAGTGTCAGCCCCACACCACAACAGTCTCCAGTTCACTAGTGTCAGCCTCACACCACAACAGTCTCCAGTGTCAGCCCCACACCACAACAGTCTCCAGTTCACCAGTGTCAGCTCCACACCACAACAGTCTCCAGTTCACTAGTGTCAGCCCCACACCACAACAGTCTCCAGTTCACTAGTGTCAGCCCCACACCACAACAGTCTCCAGTTCACTAGTGTCAGCCCCACACCACAACAGTCTCCAGTTCACTAGTGTCAGCCCCACACCACAACAGTCTCCAGTTCACTAGTGTCAGCCCCACACCACAACAGTCTCCAGTGTCAGCCCCACACCACAACAGTCTCCAGTTCACCAGTGTCAGCTCCACACCACAACAGTCTCCAGTTCACTAGTGTCAGCCCCACACCACAACAGTCTCCAGTTCACTAGTGTCAGCCCCACACCACAACAGTCTCCAGTTCACTAGTGTCAGCCCCACACCACAACAGTCTCCAGTTCACTAGTGTCAGCCCCACACCACAACAGTCTCCAGTTCACTAGTGTCAGCCCCACACCACAACAGTCTCCAGTGTCAGCCCCACACCACAACAGTCTCCAGTTCACCAGTGTCAGCTCCACACCACAACAGTCTCCAGTTCACTAGTGTCAGCCCCACACCACAACAGTCTCCAGTTCACCAGTGTCAGCCCCACACCACAACAGTCTCCAGTTCACTAGTGTCAGCTCCACACCACAACAGTCTCCAGTTCACTAGTGTCAGCCCCACACCACAACAGTCTCCAGTTCACTAGTGTCAGCTCCACACCACAACAGTCTCCAGTTCACTAGTGTCAGCTCCACACCACAACAGTCTCCAGTTCACTAGTGTCAGCCTCACACCACAACAGTCTCCAGTGTCAGCCCCACACCACAACAGTCTCCAGTTCACCAGTGTCAGCTCCACACCACAACAGTCTCCAGTTCACTAGTGTCAGCCCCACACCACAACAGTCTCCAGTTCACTAGTGTCAGCCCCACACCACAACAGTCTCCAGTTCACTAGTGTCAGCCCCACACCACAACAGTCTCCAGTTCACTAGTGTCAGCCCCACACCACAACAGTCTCCAGTTCACTAGTGTCAGCCCCACACCACAACAGTCTCCAGTGTCAGCCCCACACCACAACAGTCTCCAGTTCACCAGTGTCAGCTCCACACCACAACAGTCTCCAGTTCACTAGTGTCAGCCCCACACCACAACAGTCTCCAGTTCACCAGTGTCAGCCCCACACCACAACAGTCTCCAGTTCACTAGTGTCAGCTCCACACCACAACAGTCTCCAGTTCACTAGTGTCAGCCCCACACCACAACAGTCTCCAGTTCACTAGTGTCAGCTCCACACCACAACAGTCTCCAGTTCACTAGTGTCAGCCCCACACCACAACAGTCTCCAGTTCACTAGTGTCAGCCCCACACCACAACAGTCTCCAGTTCACCAGTGTCAGCCCCACACCACAACAGTCTCCAGTTCACTAGTGTCAGCCCCACACCACAACAGTCTCCAGTGTCAGCCCCACACCACAACAGTCTCCAGTGTCAGCCCCACACCACAACAGTCAACAGTTCACTAGTGTCAGCCCCACGCCACAACAATCTCCAGTGTCAGCCCCACACCACAACAGTCTCCAGTTCACCAGTGTCAGCCCCACGCCACAACAATCTCCAGTTCACCAGTGTCAGCCCCACGCCACAACAGTCTCCAGTTCACCAGTGTCAGCCCCACACCACAACAGTCTCCAGTTCACTGGTGTCAGTCCCACACCACAACAGTCTCCAGTGTCAGCCCCACACCACAACAGTCTCCAATGTCAGCCCCACACCACAACAGTCTCCAGTTCACCAGTGTCAGCCCCACACCACAACAGTCTCCAGTTCACTAGTGTCAGCCCCACACCACAACAGTCTCCAGTGTCAGCCCCACACCACAACAGTCTCCAATGTCAGCCCCACACCACAACAGTCTCCAGTTCACTAGTGTCAGCCCCACACCACAACAGTCTCCAGTTCACTAGTGTCAGCCCCACACCACAACAGTCTCCAGTTCACCAGTGTCAGCCCCACAGTCTAGCGTACCTATACATCATTCATGTAGAGCGCATAACGGTAACCGGGAAGGATTGCGGATATGAATAATAATAAAGAAATTTTATATTGAAAAACAAGTTTATTTGTTGTCCGCTAATTTGTATGAAAACTTTGTTTGGGTTGTTTGGGGGAGATGAGAGAGGATGGGGGGTGGGAGGGGTTGTTCAGGGTCAATAACAATAATCTTGTACTGCGTTACAGGCGTAAATATTTGAAAAAGTCAGTTTTGTTAAGGATCATTATACTCGTTAGAAGACTACTACACCCGATAAAGGACAACTTCATTAACGACCACAACACATGGTCACTGGAGAACCACTTGACCACCTCCGCACTCCTGCAGGAACCCTGCGCCAGTACACCCCGGCAGAGTCCTGCTACACTCACTATAAACACCACAACACAGAAACAGGAAGTGTCACCTGGTGTTCACTTACTGGCGAGGGAGGTTCCCTTGGCTGGAGCGTCCGCCACGCCGCCTCTACCCGAACTGAGGCTCCTGGGCTGCTGCCCCAGACGAGCCGCCCCTCGGGAACCCTGTTCGCCAACCCTCACCACCCTACCCCGGCCCCCCTCCGTCACTCTCCGCCCCTCACTGCCTTTCTTCCCATCAGCCAGGGCTGCCCCTGGGCTGCTCACGCCCTTCTGCATTTCTCTCTTGGGTCCTTTATATCCATTAGCTCGCTCTCCTGTTGCTTCACTTGCTTCTCTCTCTCCTTCTCTTCCTCTGTCCTCGCTGTCTGCTCCTCCTCCTCCTCTCTCCTTGCTGTTCTCTCCACTTCTATCTCCTGGAGAGGAAAGAGTAAGGCATCTTGTCAGAACTTTGGTTCCCAAGGGGACACGTTTAATCTGCCGCCACAATTCTTGATCCTGCTTACCCTTCAGCGCCCCTTCCTGCGTCTCCACCTGCGCCTCCTCCTCCTCTTCGGCAGGGGCCGGGGACAGTACAATTACCTCGACGTGTCCGCCCATTTTCCCTCGCCTCCACGACGCAGGATTTTTCACTTCAACCCCTCTTCCTGGGCTGGGTCGGCTCTACAGGTCAATATTCCATCCCGAGCAGGCCAACAACACTCTCATTGATCATATATTCTTCGGACGATTTCCTGGTCAACACACACGTCCATCAAAAGTTTCAATAACTAAATAATAATTGTCCTCTTGACGGCTTAAGTCCTTTGCTTCACGCGAACATTATCTTCCGAAACAAAATCGTTCGGTCAGCGCTTATCTTTGCAATATTTGTTGAGCGAACGTCTTGGCTTAAACATCCATTGTGGTAAGCCACGCCCACGAGACACGAAAGCCGGGATGTGAACAATTTTACAACAAAACCCTCGGCCCGGGTCCGTCTCAGGCCGCGGCCAGAAACGGTAACCATGGCAACCACTGTAAACACCCTCGTTACCCGCGTCTCCAACAGATGGCAGCACGCAACATTGATCACCCTCATGACCCCTGTCGAGGTATTCACACTCTAATCCAACCCGACCGTAGAGGTTATATAACCGGTTTACTCTGGAAGCAAAATTAATATTTGCAAGCTTATATAATGGGATCTTAAGAGTTATTTATATTTTAATCTCCCTGAGGGGATGAGGCGATTCCTGGTTATATTTAGACAACAGAATATACAAATTCAAATTCTAATTCAAAACAACGTATGTACAAAGAACAAAGCAGTAATAATGAACAATTGTAGGGTCAGGAGTTACACAAACTAATGAAATCCCTATTACGCAAAGAGTTTCGGGCAATACCTCAGCCATGGGCGTGAACAGTGTTGGGGACTGGGGGGGGGCCGCCAGGCTACAGTCATGGGCGTGAACAGTGTTGGGGACTGGGGGAGGGCCGCCAGGCTACAGTCATGGGCGTGAACCGTGTTGGGGACTGGGGGAGGGCCGCCAGGCTACAGTCATGGGCGTGAACAGTGTTGGGGACTGGGGGAGGGCCGCCAGGCTACAGTCATGGGCGTGAACAGTGTTGGGGACTGGGGGAGGGCCGCCAGGCTACAGTCATGGGCGTGAACAGTGTTGGGGACTGGGGGAGGGCCGCCAGGCTACAGTCATGGGCGTGAACAGTGTTGGGGACTGGGGGAGGGCCGCCAGGCTACAGTCATGGGCGTGAACAGTGTTGGGGACTGGGGGGGGGCCGCCAGGCTACAGTCATGGGCGTGAACAGTGTTGGGGACTGGGGGGGGGCCGCCAGGCTACAGACATGGGCGTGAACAGTGTTGGGGACTGGGGGGGGGGGCCGCCAGGCTACAGTCATGGGCGTGAACAGTGTTGGGGACTGGGGGGGGGGGGGCGCCAGGCTACAGTCATGGGCGTGAACAGTGTTGGGGACTGGGGGAGGGCCGCCAGGCTACAGTCAAGGGCGTGAACAGTGTTGGGGACTGGGGGAGGGCCGCCAGGCTACAGACATGGGCGTGAACAGTGTTGGGGACTGGGGGGGGGCCGCCAGGCTACAGTCATGGGCGTGAACAGTGTTGGGGACTGGGGGGGGGCCGCCAGGCTACAGTCATGGGCGTGAACAGTGTTGGGACTGGGGGGGAGGAGGGCCGCCAGGGTACAGTCATGGGCGTGAACAGTGTTGGGGACTGGGGGAGGGCCGCCAGGCTACAGTCATGGGCGTGAACAGTGTTGGGGACTGGGGGGGGGGGCCGCCAGGGTACAGTCAAGGGCGTGAACAGTGTTGGGGACTGGGGGGGGGCCGCCAGGCTACAGTCATGGGCGTGAACAGTGTTGGGGACTGGGGGGGGGCCGCCAGGCTACAGTCATGGGCGTGAACCGTGTTGAGGACTGGGGGGGGGCCGCCAGGCTACAGTCATGGGCGTGAACAGTGTTGGGGACTGGGGGGGGCCGCCAGGCTACAGTCATGGGCGTGAACCGTGTTGAGGACTGGGGGGGCCGCCAGGCTACAGACATGGGCGTGAACAGTGTTGGGGACTGGGGGGGGGCGCCAGGCTACAGTCATAAGCGTGAACAGTGGTGGGGACTGGGGGGGGGCCGCCAGGCTACAGTCATGGGCGTGAACAGTGTTGGGGACTGGGGGGGGGCCGCCAGGCTACAGTCATGGGCGTGAACCGTGTTGAGGACTGGGGGGGGGCCGCCAGGCTACAGACATGGGCGTGAACAGTGTTGGGGACTGGGGGGGGGGCGCCAGGCTACAGACATGGGCGTGAACCGTGTTGGGGACTGGGGGGGGGGCCGCCAGGCTACAGACATGGGCGTGAACAGTGTTGGGGACTGGGGGGGCGCCAGGCTACAGACATGGGCGTGAACAGTGTTGGGGACTGGGGGGGGCCGCCAGGCTACAGACATGGGCGTGAACCGTGTTGGGGACTGGGGGGGGGCCGCCAGGCTACAGTCATGGGCGTGAACAGTGTTGGGGACTGGGGGGGGGCGCCAGGCTACAGTCATGGGCGTGAACAGTGTTGGGGGACTGGGGGAGGGCCGCCAGGCTACAGACATGGGCGTGAACAGTGTTGAGGACTGGGGGAGGGCCGCCAGGCTACAGACATGGGCGTGAACAGTGTTGAGGACTGGGGGGGGGGCCGCCAGGCTACAGTCATGGGCGTGAAGAGTTTTGCGGGTGAGTAAAGCCTGGGGGGCAAGGAGCGTCGGGAGGGCCGCCAGACTCCATCCTATGGTAACCCCGGCGGTGGGGTCTCTGCGGGATCAAACTCACTCCTCGCCCACACTCCTAAAGTCCTTACCTCCCTCCCTCCCTGATGTTGGTGCTGGTGCATGATGTTGGTGCTGGTGCATGATGCTGGTGCTGGTGCATGATGTTGGTGTTGGTGCATGATGTTGGTGCTGGTGCATGATGTTGGTGGTGGTGCATGATGTTGGTGCTATTGCTGGTGCATGATGTTGGTGCTGGTGCATGATGTTGGTGGTGGTGCATGATGTTGGTGCTGGTGCATGATGTTGGTGCTGGTGCATGATGTTGGTGATGGTGCATGTTGTTGGTGCTGGTGCATGATGTTGGTGCTGGTGCATGATGTTGGTGCTGGTGCATGATGTTGGTGCTGGTGCATGTTGTTGGTGCTGGTGCATGATGTTGGTGCTGGTGCATGATGTTGGTGCTGGTGCATGATGTTGGTGCTGGTGCATGATGTTGGTGGTGGTGCATGTTGTTGGTGCTGGTGGTGGTGCATGATGTTGGTGCTGGTGCATGATGTTGGTGCTGGTGCATGATGTTGGTGCTGGTGCATGTTGTTGGTGCTGGTGCATGATGTTGGTGCTGGTGCATGATGTTGGTGCTGGTGCATGATGTTGGTGCTGGTGCATGATGTTGGTGCTGGTGCATGATGTTGGTGCTGGTGCATGATGTTGGTGCTGGTGCATGCTGGTGCATGATGTTGGTGCTGGTGCATGATGTTGATGCTGGTGCATGATGTTGGTGCTGGTGCATGTTGTTGGTGCTGGTGGTGGTGCATGATGTTGGTGCTGGTGCATGATGTTGGTGCTGGTGCACGATGTTGGTGCTGGTGCATGATGTTGGTGCTGGTGCATGATGTTGGTGCTGGTGCATGATGTTGGTGCTGGTGCATGATGTTGGTGCTGGTGCATGATGTTGGTGCTGGTGCATGATGTTGGTGCTGGTGCATGATGTTGGTGCTCGTGCATGATGTTGGTGCTATTGGGTGCATGATGTTGGTGCTGGTGCATGATGTTGGTGCTGGTGCATGATGTTGGTGCTGGTGCATGATGTTGGTGTTGGTGCTGGTGCTGGTGCATGATGTTGGTGCTGATGCATGATGTTGGTACTGGTGCATGATGTTGGTGCTGGTGCATGATGTTGGTGCTGGTGCATGATGTTGGTGCTGGTGCATGATGTTGGTGCTGGTGCATGATGTTGGTGCTGGTGCATGATGTTGGTGCTGGTGCATGATGTTGGTGCTGGTGCTGGTGCATGATGTTGGTGCTGGTGCTGGTGCATGATGTTGGTGCTGGTGCATGATGTTGGTGCTGGTGCATGATGTTGGTGCTGGTGCTGGTGCATGATGTTGGTGCTGGTGCATGATGTTGGTGCTGGTGCATGATGTTGGTGCTATTGCTGGTGCATGATGTTGGTGCTGGTGCATGTTGTTGGTGCTGGTGCATGATGTTGGTGCTGGTGCATGATGTTGGTGCTGGTGCATGATGTTGGTGCTGGTGCATGATGTTGGTGCTGGTGCATGATGTTGGTGCTGGTGCATGATGTTGGTGCTGGTGCATGATGTTGGTGCTCGTGCATGATGTTGGTGCTGGTGCATGATGTTGGTGCTCGTGCATGATGTTGGTGCTATTGCTGGTGCATGATGTTGGTGCTGGTGCATGTTGTTGGTGGTGGTGCATGATGTTGGTGCTGGTGCATGATGTTGGTGCTGGTGCATGATGTTGGTGCTGGTGCATGATGTTGGTGCTGGTTCATGATGTTGGTGCTGGTGCATGATGTTGGTGCTGGTTCATGATGTTGGTGCTGGTGCATGATGTTGGTGCTGGTGCATGTTGTTGGTGCTGGTGCATGATGTTAGTGGTGGTGCATGATGTTGGTGCTGGTGCATGATGTTGGTGCTGGTGCATGATGTTGGTGCTATTGCTGGTGCATGATGTTGGTGCTGGTGCATGATGTTGGTGCTCGTGCATGATGTTGGTGCTATTGCTGGTGCATGTTGTTGGTGGTGGTGCATGATGTTGGTGCTGGTGCATGATGTTGGTGGTGGTGCATGATGTTGGTGCTGGTTCATGATGTTGGTGCTGGTGCATGATGTTGGTGCTGGTGCATGTTGTTGGTGCTGGTGCATGATGTTGGTGGTGGTGCATGATGTTGGTGCTGGTGCATGATGTTGGTGCTGGTGCATGATGTTGGTGCTGGTTCATGATGTTGGTGCTGGTGCATGATGTTGGTGGTGGTGCATGATGTTGGTGGTGGTGCATGATGTTGGTGCTGGTGCATGATGTTGGTGCTGGTGCATGATGTTG